AGTAACACAGTCAGTTTTCCATGTTAAACTTTAAAACTCCAGCTGTCACTCTGGATTCAGACCATTCCACAAGCGGGTCTTGAACTTAGACCCATTGGAACTGAAACCCAAGTTCTTACGCAGTGCGCCAACCAAGCACTTGCTGATCTTTCCGTTCGAACTTCTACAAGTACCACACAGTCAGTTTTCCATGTTAAACTTTAAAACTCCAGCTGTCACTCTGGATTCAGACCATTCCACAAGCAGGTCTTGAACTTACACCCATTGGAATCGAAACCCAAGTTCTTACGCAGTGTGCCAACCAAGCACTTGCTGATCATTCCATTCAAACTTCTACAAGTACCACAGTCAGTTTTCAAAGTTAAACTTTAAAACTCCAGCTGTCACTCTGGATTCAGACTGTCCTTCGGACCATTCCACAAGCGGGTCTTGAACTTAGACCCATTGGAATCAAAGCACAAGTTCTTACGCAGTGCGTCAACCAAACACTTGCTAATCTTTCTTTTCGAACTTCTACAAGTACCACAGTCAGTTTTCCATGTTAAACTTTAAAACCATGACTTAAGCTGATCTTGAACTTAGACCCATCAGAACCGAAACACAAGTCTGTACTTAGTGCGCCAATCGAGCACTTGCAGATCTTTTCATTTGAACTTCTACAAGTACCACAAAGTCAGTCTTCCATGTTAAACATTAAAACCATGACTTAGGCGGGTCTTGAACTTAAACCCATCGGAACCGAAACCCAAGTCTGTAGTCAGTGCCCTATCCGAGCACCTGCCAATCTTTCCATTTGAACTCCTACAAATACCACAAAATCAGTCTTCCATGTTAAACTTTAAAACCATACCTTATGCAGGATTTTAACTAAGAACCTGTGGAACCGATATCCTGTTTGTATGCAGTGAGCTAACCAAGCACCTGCCAACCTTGCCGCTCAAACTTCTACAAATACCACAAAATCAGTCTTGCATGTTAAAGTTTGAAACCATGGATGAAACACGTCTTGAACTAAAAACCATCGGAACCAAAACCAAGTTTGTATGCAGTGAGCTAATCAAGCACCTGCCAACCTTGCCGCTCGAACTTCTACAAATACCACAAAGTAATTCTTGTGTGTTAAAGTTTAAAACTTTAACACACAAACACAAAGCAGGTTTAAACTTAACCTGCTTTACAACTGAACTAAGATCCTGAGGAACCAAAATCCAGTTTGTAGGCAGTGAGCTAACCAAGCACCTACCAACCTTGCCACTCAAACTTCTACAAATACCACAAAGTCAGTCTTGTGTGTTAAAGTTTAAAACCATTGATCAAGCAGGCCTTGAACTAAAAACCATCGGAACCAAAACCAAGTTTGTATGCCGTGTGCTAACCATGCACCTGAAACCTTGCCGCTCAAACTTCTACAAATACCACAAAGACAGTCTTCCATGTTAAAGTTTAAAACCATGCCTTACTCAGGTCTTGAACTAAAAACCATCGAGACCATAACCAACTTTTTATGCCGTGTGCTAACCATGCACCTGCCAACCTTGCCGCTCAAACTTCTATAAATACCACAAAGTCAGTCTCGCGTGTTAAAGTTTAAAACCCTATGTTAGCAGGTCTTGAACTAAGAACCACTGAGACTGAAACACAGTCTATCCACTGTGCTTACCAAGCACCTGACCACCATGACACTTCAATTTCTACTCACATCACAAATTAGGTTTTTCAAACGCACGTTGACCAAACAACCAAACCAGTAACAACTTTGGCTCCAGTTACTCCAAATACCACATGTTTGAAAACATTCCTTGCTGAAATGTTTTCATGGCGGTTAATGGCAAGTAAAAAGATTTTGTATATTTAAACAAAGTTCCACACCATAATTTTTTTCCATCCTGGATGTTAGAAAAAAATAATACTCTTCTTGAGATTAGATACAATGGAGATAATTCCCAATTTTTACAACAAATGCTCAACGTCACTGTACCACCCTTTACAGCTTCATCGCTTATGAAAACATTTTCCACAATGTTTGAGTTTGTTTATGCAGATTTGAGTATTTCTAATGAAAAAAGTGCTTTTTATTTGTCCTGTCCCGTTGATAAAAAAGTTGGGAGAACTCCAAATATAAAAGCTCCGTGTCTATCAGAAAAGACTTGAATAAAGTATTTTTAGGTAATTAGCAAATATGGAAGCTACTGCACCAGCCAAGCACCTGGTAATCCAGGTGCTCCAAGTTAAAATATTTTTCTTCATTAAGATAATTTCCACTGGAAAAATGTAAAAGTTCTATCCCTGCCTGAAGTATTCTGATACTTATATTGCACAATTACTAAACAACAAAATACTTTTTGTTTTTCCTCCTATGTTCACAAAAAATTGGAAGCTATTGTGTGAACATGTGTACTATTCTGCTGTTCATTTTGACATGTACGGCCTGGTTTCATGGTTACTTACTTTACATGTTCAGAGTTACAACAAAACATGCAGAGGATCTTGTACACATTATAGTTACCACAAACCTTGGGTCTTTCAACATGACAAACATACAAAACATATTCAATATGGCAAAGGTCTGCAACATTGATTTGTAGATTATTTATGTTGGATCCATCAGCAACACGATGAAGGGCTCCAGTAATGGGTCAGTCATGCTTGGATGCGGCATCTTCACTTCTATGAAACGTCGTCGTAAAAGCAGGTTGGTGAAGCAATATTTGGGTGCGATCCCCTGCACTGAGAACAAACAGGCATTCATTGATTGATTGATTACTTACATACCCAGAGTAAAAAATAAAATGATTTTTAAAAAAAACTTACTTAAGCAGAAGTAGGCCTTAATTTTGACTGAGTATGATGAAGTTTGTGTGTTTTAATCTGACTATTTCTAATGAAGACAGTACATTTAATTTGTCCTGTCCTGATTATAAAAAAGTTGGGAGAACTCCAAATATAAAAGCTCTGTGTCTGTCAGAAGCAAAACTTGAATCCAGTATTTTTCAAATGCCAGTTTGGCAGTGTTGTATAAAGTACTGAAATCTCAGAGTCAAGTAAAAGTATAGGTACCTCATGGTAAAAGTCCAAGTCACTGACTGAAATGTTACTTGAGTTAAAGAATTAAAGTATCTGAAACATCTTGTACAAACTATGGAAATTACTGTAAAAATGGATGTACTCAAGTAATGTAATGAAAAGTAAAAGTAAAAAGTAAAACAAGGCAAATGCAGCTTGAATGACATATTTTATACTTTGGTAAACTTGTCAAATACACTTACAATAATGTACACAACCAAGTGTACAACCTGCTAAAAGATATACCTGAAGGCATCATTTAATTAAGAAAATTAGGTTTTTTACCTATACCACAAGGTTAACTTAACCTGCTTTACAACTGAACCAGCTTCTTAATATACCCTCCAGGACATAAAATACAAAATTTTTGTACACCTTAAGTTTTCCCTTTCAGTAAGGTCAGTGCTGAAAATGAGAAAACTCAATAGTGGCCAAAATGCGGCCAACATGAAAAAAAGCCGTTACAATTACTCTACTCACAAACAATAGGTGCACACAACTGGTCATTATGCCAAAGAAAAGAGAATTGGGAGGGAAATGCAGCTTATTTGGCATCTGAAGAGGGAGAGCTTTTTTTAAAACTTTGTGTTTAATGGGAGAAAGGTAACAGACCTCCGTGAAGCTGACACCCACCGACTCAAATAATCCAGCAAAAAGTCTAATTGGTCAGTGCTCCGTTTGTGCCGTTAAAATTTTCGTTTGTGCAGCTTTGGTTTCCGAGATCTTAAAAAAACTTTTTTAGGCCATCCAAAACATACACTTTTTAAGATTACAATTACTGAAAATATTGAGTATGACTAAAAATTCACAACAGTGTGTTTCGTGTAACAGCATGAATTTTGTCAGTTTGTCACAAGACAAGAAATCTATTTACATTAGTTTCTCAGGAGAGTTTGGATGTAAAATTTGTTGACTCTCCCTGAGTGAAACTCCGAGAGCTTGAGGAAGGGGGAGACCTAGAGAACAGCTGGCTGAAATTAGCGTTCATGAATCAGATCAACCTTGAGCAAGGGACCGCTCACACCAGATATTGGAATAGCAAAAATCCAAATTGAAAACAACTTTGCTGCGTTTGTTTTAACGGCGCAAACCTGCACAAATGGAGCACTAACCAATGAGAAGATTTGGTGGATTTTTTGACGTAGGTGGGGAGGTGTGAAGCCTGTGCATCCTATTGGTGGTGATGAACAAAACCAGGCAAGCTGGCTGTGTTGCAGTAAATCAGTAGGTGGGGTCAAATCATTTGCGTTTCTCTCTCACTTTTTGTAACAAGTAACTAAACCACACATTGAAAATGTATCGGAGTAAAAGTATGCAATTCAGTTCGGAAATATAGTTAAGTAACAGTGAAAGTTACCAAAAATTTTAATACTCGAGGAAAGTATGAAGTACTCCAAAATATACTTAAGAAAAGTAGTGAATTATTTTTAATTCGTTACTATAAAACACTGCAGTTTGGTCACTTAATATCAATATAAAAACAATACTTAATGAGGAAAAAAATCAAGACGTTTGAAGAACTGCTTTATAAAAGACAGGATTAAATAGACACATTAAATTTAGTTATTTTTTCCTTCTTCACTTTTAAATTGTTTAAAATCACACAAGATCATTGTTTGCATACAGTGCAGTTCGGTTCCTAAATTAAAAGGTTCTCTCCCTATGCGCATTTTTGGATTTCTGTCACTGCTCCTTTATTGGAGCTGAAACAATCTGTTTATTGAACCAGAATTAAACAGAAACTTCCTCCAGTTACATATGATGTTGACAGGAAATGATGTGCAGCTGGTTAGGAAACAGCAGGGACATTTCTGAATATCACAAACTTCATCTGAGGGATTATTATTGGGAAATGAGTCTATTGGAAATAAAACAAAGACTGTTCGAGAAAATAGAGACCATATAAGTTTGATTAAAGCGAAATAAAAGTGTCTCACCATTAACTGTGGTGCTGAGATGGAAAAAATACTGTGAAGTTGCACAATTCAGAGACCGAGGTCCAGACAAACTTCAGGGAGCAAAAACAATCTTTAATACATCTGCAGACAGAGAGCAAAAATACACTGCATCAGAAAAAATCATTGGAAAAACAGCAAGTTCCCAGACATCTTGTTCAATTAGTTTGTACACCCTCTCTGCAGCTGCATGAAAAAACATCTTGACTATGCTAATTATTTATATGATGCAAATAAAAGATTTTCTCTGGAAAGTAAAATCTACTTCACAACTTCACCCTTTTTTTCTAGTGGGTAGCAAACAAATAACTAAGTAAATAAAACCTAGAAATGATCAAATGAAGTATAAAATGAAGTAAAAAGTGCTAGAAGAGAAACAACACATCAGTCTACATTGGTCATTTAGTAATGGTCCAGAATAAAAGCATCACAGGAGTTTTAGCAAGAGTTTTGTCTTCTGATGATGTTAAGCAAAGCAAAAACCAGAAAATGGAAAATGTTGAACTTCTAAAGAATACAAAGACAAAAACTCAATCTCAACATCAGGAGAGTTATGGGTTATGAAGTACGGCATCCTTAATCCACGTGGGTGTTGTTCTGCGGCGATGTCCCATCCCGACCATGTTCTCCATGCTGCCTCAGCTAGGTAGACCACCTACTGAGTGGGCCGTCGGTGGTATCCCTATTTTTTCAGGGATACGTTGTTGGAATCCCCTTGGTGGGATTCTGGGCGATTCGATTTCCCATTGAACTTCTCACCACTTGCTGGCGAGGACCCAGGTGGATTTAAGAAAATCCACAACCTTCACTGCAGTCATCAATTCTTCTTCCTGAAAATTTTAAGAAAAAAAATCTCCAGGCTGTAGGTTATATAAGTGTTTGCCCGTTGGCACGGGTTGTCCTCCTTGGGCCTGCAGTCTTTAATTGATCTACAAGAGAAATACAGAAGTTAATCATGTTGTCATTACATGTTGTTGAAATAATTCAAGGTTTCATTGGTGGTCCCTTTCCGATGTTTGGGAAATCCTGCAAATAAGATTGTGATTTTATCTTCTTCGCATGCGCATGAAAACACAGAACACTGAGACAAAATGACACGTAAACAATCATTCACTCCAACATGAAACAGACAAACAAACGGACACCATCAGAATTCAGAGTCAAATTTGCATTACAACAGAACCTGGTATAGTCAGGAGGAATACCCTCCATGATGTCCTGTAAATCCACCTCTGAAACGAAAGCCTTGACCCCCTGGGGAAGCTTCCCTGGTTGCCATCAAATCTTCCTCCTCAGCCCCTGTGCAACCTTCACCCACCTGGTTGTGGTTTGAATCGTCTCTGGAAGCAGTCTCTGGCTCAATGTCCTTGTTGTCTGCAGATAAAACAAACATCAGCCAGTGTCGGGCTTTCTGACTGTCCATACTATCCATAGCGTCCTGGTAGTCCATCTAGTGATTGTAATGTTACTTGTAGTACTGGGTGTCATTATAAAAACCACCACTAGAAGAATGGATGTAAAATCTAAAATTAGAGAAAAAGTTTTGTGACAGCTTTTACACAATAAAAGGAAAACATGTTCTTAATGTATTTTCTTGTTTTTTTTGGGGGAGGAAATCTGAAAATAGTTACTTATAAAATAAGGATATTTACTCACTACAGTGGCAGTTTCTCCTTGTGCAGACGATCTGGATGTTTCAGCTTTTAGACAGGCACTTTAAAAATAAAATAAACTCCAGATTTACGTGAAAGTTTAATAACATGTGGAGGTAAAGTTTAATAAAATATGTTCAAAGAAACAAAAGTTTAGATTTAAAATAAAACAATCATATTGAAGATGCAGATAAAGATCGTAAGTGAACTTTGAAATCTGCAGCTTTTGTTATAAAGCTTGAATTGAGGTAAAAGAAATTATGAATATTGAATTAGTTTCTCACCGTTGTGGACGTCTTCTGCAGATAAATCCCAGAATATCTGAAAATATGACAACAAAGGAACCTGCAGCAGTCAAAGCAGAAGGAAGAGTCACTGCAGACTGGCTCCAAACTTCATCTGCGGGATTATTATTAGAAAATGAGTCGATTAGAAATAAAAAAAACATTCTCAATCTCAACATGAGGAGAGTTATGGGTTATGAAGTACGGCATTCTTAATCCATGTGGGTGTTTTTCTGCGGCGATGTCCCATTCCGACTATGTTCTCCATGCTGCCTCAGCTAGGTAGACCACCTACTGAGTGGGCCGTTGGTGGTATCCCTATTTTTTCAGGGATACTTTGTTGGAATCCCCGTGGTGGGATTCTGGGCGATTCGATTTCCAGTGAACTTCTCGCCAATGGCTGGCGAGGATCCAGGTGGATTTAAGAAAATCCACAACCTTCACTGGGGTCATCAGTTCTTCTTCCTGAAATTTTTAAGAAACACAAAATCTCCAGGCTGTAGGTTATATAATTGTTTGCCCGCTGGCACGGGTCGTCCTCCTTGGGCCTGCCGTCTTTAATTGATCTGTAAGAGAAATACAGAAGTTAATAATATTGTCATTACATGATGTTGAAATAATACCAGGTTTCATTGGTGGTCCCATTGCGATGTTTGGGAAATCCTGCAAATAAGGTTGTGTTTTTATCTTCTTCGCATGCGCATGAAAACACAGAACACTGAGACAAACATTACATGTAAACAATCATTCACTCCAACATGAAACAGACAAACAATGGACGACATCAGAATTAAAAGTCAGTCAAATTTGCATTGCAACAGAACCTGGTATAGTCAGGTGGAACACCCTCCACGATGTCCTGTAAATCCACCTCTGAAAGGAAATCCTTGACCCCTGGGGAAGCTTCCCTGGTTGCCATCAAATCTTCCTCCTCGGCTCTTGTGCAACCTTTGGCCACCTGGTTGTGGTTTGAATCGTCTCTGGGAGCAGTCTCTGGCTCAATGTCCTTGTTGTCTGCAGATAAAACAAACATCAGCCAGTGTGAGGCTTTCTGGCTGTCAATACTGTCCTGGTTTGTCCATCCTGTTCAAGCTGTCCATGCTGTCGTGACTGTGAATATTCAGGGCAGCCTGATGAAGCAGGGTCAGTTGGCAGAATGGTGCAGTTGGGCCTGATGGAAACAGTGCCATCTTGTGGTCATCCTGTAAAGCACATGCAATATAGATATTTTTGGATTTCTGTCACTGCTCCTTTATTGGAGCTGAAACAATCTGTTTATTGAACCAGAATTAATCAGAAACTTCCTCCAGTTACATACGATGTGGACAGGAAATGATGTGCAGCTGGTTAGGAAACAGGGACGTTTCTGACTATCACAAACTTCATCTGACGGATTATTATTAGGAAATGAGTCCACTGGAAATAAAACAAACATTGTTAGAGAATATACAGACCATATAAGTTTGATTCAAGCGATATAAAAGTGTCTCACCATTAACTGTGATACTGAGATGGAAAAAATACTGTGAAGTCGCACAATTCAGAGACTGAGGTCCAGAGAAAAACGTCAGGGAACAAAAACGATCTTTAATACATCTGCAGACAGAAATCAATAATACACTGCATCAGGCAAAAATCATTCTGCTCCAACGAACTCAGAGTTGCATAGTTGCTTTATTCACCTTTCTGATAACAGAGGCGGAGACTCAATCTTCTAAGAACAAACAAAAGAAACAAAGGAAAACGGATGGAATAGTTCAACCTTGTACGCTCATTCACTATCATGTCTACAGGATGTGAAAACTAAACACCATCTACATGCAGGGAAGAACACAGGAAAAACAGCAAGATCCTAGAGACATCTTCTTCAATTAGTTTGTACACCCTCTCTGCAGCTGCACAAAACAACATCTAGACTATGTTACACTGTATGATGCAACTAAAACATTTTCTCTTTGAAGAAAAATCTACTTCACAACTTCACCCTTTTTTCTAGTGGGTAGCAAACAAATAACTAAGTAAATAAAACCTAGAAATGATCAAATGAAGTAAAAAGTGCTAGAGGATAGTTGAGAAACACAACACATCAGTCTACATTGGTCATTTAGCAATGGTCCAGAATAAAAGCATCACAGGAGTTTTAGCAAGAGTTTTGTCTTCTGATGATGTTAAGCAAAGCAAAAAACAGAAAATGGAAAAATGTTACACTTCTAAAGGATACAAAGACGAAAACTCATTCTCAATATCAGGAGAGTTATGGGTTATGAAGTACGGCATCCTTAATCTACGTGGGTGTTGTTCTGCAGCGATGTCCCATCCCGACCATGTTCTCCATGCTGCCTCAGCTAGGTAGACCACCTACTGAGTGGGCTGTCGGTGGTATCCCTATTTATTCAGGGATACTTTGTTGGAATCCCCTTAGTGGGATTCTGGGCGATTCGATTTCCCAGTGAACTTCTCACCAGTGGCTGTCGAGGACCCAGGTGGACATAAGAAAATCCACAACCTTAACTGCGGTCATCAATTCTTCTTCCTGAAATTTTTAAGAAACACAAAATCTCCAGGCTGTAGGTTATATAATTGTTTGCCCGCTGGCACGGGTCGTCCTCCTTGGAACTGCCGTCTTTAATTGATCTGTAGGAGAAATACAAAAGTTAATCATGTTGTCATTACATGTTGTTGAAATAATACCAGGTTTCATCGGTGGTCCCAAGCCGATGTTTGGAAAATCCTGCAAATAAGATTGTGTTTTTTATCTTCTTCGCATGCGCATAAAAACACAGAACACGTAGACAAACATGACACGTAAACAATCATTCACTCCAACATGAAACAGACAAACAAACGGACGCCATCAGAATTAAAATAAGTCAAATTTGCCTTACAACATAACCTGGTATAGTCAGGTGGAACACCCTCCACGATGTCCTGTAAATCCACCTCTGAAAGGAACGCCTTGACCCCTGGGGAAGCTTCCCTGGTTGCCATCAAATCTTCCTCCTCGGTCTTTGTGCAACCTTTGGCCACCTGGTTGTGGTTTGAATTAAAAGTCAGTCAATTAAAAGTTTGACTGATTTTTGTATTAAAAGTCAGTCAAATTTGCAATACAACATAACCTGGTATAGTCAGGTGGAACACCCTCCACGATGTCCTGTAAATCCACCTCTGAAAGGAACGCCTTGACCCCCTGGGGAAGCAGTCTCTGGCTCAATGTCCTTGTTGTCTGCAGATAAAACAAACATCAGCCAGTGTGAGGCTTTCTGACTGTCCTGTCTGTTCATACTGTCCTGACTGTGGATGTTCAGGGCAGCCTGATGAAGCAGGGTCAGTTGGCAGAATGGTGCAGTTGGGCCTGATGGAAACACTGCCATCTTGTGGTCATTCTGTAAAGCACATGCAAAATAGATATTTTTGGATTTCTGTCACTGCTCCTTTATTGGAGCTGAAACAATCTGTTTATAAAACCAGAATTAATCAGAAACTTCTTCCAGTTACATATGATATTGACAGGAAATGATGTGAAGCTGGTTACAAAACGGCAGGGACGTTTCTGACTATCGATTATGTTAATACACTCACTATTTAAGTATTCAGGAAAAGTAAGTATTGTGCCATCAAGTGTTTGTGATGTTACTAGTAGTATTGGGTGTCATAAAAACCACCATTAGAAAAATGGATGTAAAGTCTAAAATTTGAGGTAAAATTTTGGGACAGTTTTTTCAGAATAAAAAGAAAACATGTTCTTAATGTATTTTCTAGTCTTTTTTGTGACAATCTGAAAATAGTTACTTATAAAATAAGGGTATTTACTCACTACAGTGGCAGTTTCTCCTTGTGAAGACGATCCAGATGTTTCAGCTCTTAGACAGGCGCTTTAAAAATGAAATAAACTCCAGATTTACGTGAAAGTTTAATAACATCTGGAGGTAAAGTTTAAGAAAATATTTTCATAGAAACAAAAGTTTAGATTTAAAATAAAACCATCATATTGAAGATGCAGATAAAAATCATAAGTAAAATTAGAAATCTGCAGCTTCAATTATTAAGCTTGAATTGAGGTAAAAGAAATTATGAATATTGAATTAGTTTCTCACCGTTGTGGACGTCTTCAGCAGATAAATTCCAGAATAACTGAAACTTTGACAACCAAGAAACCTGCAGCAGTCAAAGCAGAAGGAAGAGTCACTGCAGACTGGCTCCAAACTTCATCTGCTGGAATTTTATTAGGAAATTAGTCTATTGGAAATAAACATTCTCAATCTCATCATCAGGAGAGTTATGGGTTATAAAGTACGGCATCCTTAATCTGCGTGGTTGTTGTTCTGCGGCGATGTCCCATCCCGACCATGTTCTCCATGCTGCCTCAGGTAGGTAGACCACCTACTGAGTGGGCCGTCGGTGGTATCCCTATTTTTTCAGGGATACGTTGTTGGAATCCCTTTGGTGGGATTCTGGGCAATTCGATTTCCAGTGAACTTCTCACCAATGGCTATTGAGGACCCAGGTGGATTTAAGAAAATCCACAACCTTCACTGTGGTCATCAGTTCTTCTTCCTGAAATTTTTAAGAAACACAAAATCTCCAGGCTGTAGGTTATATAATTGTTTGCCCGCTGGCACGGATCGTCCTCCTTGGGCCTGCAGTCTTTAATTGATCTGTAAGAGAAATACAGAAGTTAATCATGTTGTCATTACATGTTGTTGAAATAATTCCAGGTTTCATCGGTGGTCCCATTCCGATGTTTGGGAAATCCTGCAAATAAGATTGTGTTTTTATCTTCTTCGCATGCGCATGAAAACACAGAACACTGAGACAAACATTACACGTAAACAATCATTCACTCCAACATGAAACAGACAAACAATGGACGACATCAGAATTAACAGTCAGTCAAATTTGCATTGCAACAGAACCTGGTGTAGTCAGGAGGAATACCCTCCATGATGTCCTGTAAATCCACCTCTGAAAGGAAAGCCTTGACCCCCTGGAGAAGCTTCCCTGGTTGCCATCAAATCTTCCTCCTCGATTCCTGTGCAAACTTCGGCCTCCTGGTTGTGGTTTGAATCGTCTCCGGCTCAATGTCCTTGATGTCTGCAGATAAAAACAATCATCAGCAAGTGTCCATATTGTCCTGGCTGTCCATACTGTCATGACTTTGGATGTTCAAGGCAGCCTGATGAAGCAGGGTCAGTTGTAAGAATTGTGCAGTTGGGCCTGATGGAAACAGTGACATCTTGTGGTGGTTCTGTAAAGCACATGCAATATAGATATTTTTGGATTTCTGTCACTGCTCCTTTATTGGAGCTGAAACAATCTGTTTATTGAACCAGAATTCATCAGAAACTTCCTCTAGTTACATATGATGTTGACAGGAAATGATGTGCAGCTGGTTAGGAAACGTCAGGGATCTTTCTAACTATCGATTATGTTAATACACTCACTATTTAAGTATTCGGGAAAAGTAAGTATTGTGCCATCTAGTGATTGTAATGTTACTAGTAGTACTGGGTGTCATAAAAACCACCACTAGAAGAATGGAAGTAAAATCTAAAATTAGAGGTAAAGTTTTCAGACAGTTTTTTACAGAATAAAAGGAAAACATGTTCTTAATGTATTTTCTAGTCTTTTTTGTGACAATCTGAAAATAGTTACTTATAAAATAAGGATATTTACTCACTACAGTGGCAGTTTCTCCTTGTGCAGACGATCCGGATGTTTCAGCTCTTAGACAGGCGCTTTAAAAATAAAATAAACTCCAGATTTACGTTAAGGTCTAATAACATGTGGAGGTAAAGTTTAAGAAAATATTTTCATAGAAACAAAAGTTTAGATTTAAAATAAAACAATCATATTGAAGATGCAGATAAAGATCGTAAGCGAAATTTGAAATATGCACCTTCAGTTATAAATCTTGAATTTCGGTAATTGAATAAATTATGAATATTGAATTAGTTTCTCACCGTTGTGGACGTCTTCTGCAGATAAATCCCAGAATATCTGAAAATATGACAACAAAGGAACCTGCAGCAGTAAGAGCAGAAGGAAGAGTCACTGCAGACTGGCTCCAAACTTCATCTGCTGGATTATTATTAGGAAATGAGTCTATTGGAAATAAAAAACATCCTCAATCTCAACATCAGGAGAGTTATGGGTTATGAAGTACGGCATCCTTAATCCATGTAGGTGTTGTTCTGCGGCAATGTCCCATCCTGACCATGTTCTCCATGCTGCCTCAGCTAGGTAGACCACCTACTGAGTGGGCCGTCGGTGGTATCCCTATTTTTTCAGGGATACTTTGTTGGAATCCCCTTGGTAGGATTCTGGGCGAATCGATTTCCAGTGAACTTCTCACCAATGGCTGTTGAGGACCCCGGTGGATTTCAGAAAATCCACAATCTTCACTGTGGTCATCAGTTCTTCTTCCTGAAATTTTTAAGAAATACAAAATCTCCAGGCTGTAGGTTGTATAATTCTTTGCCCGCTGGCACGGGTCGTCCTCCTTGGGCCTGCAGTCTTTAATTGATCTGTAAGAGAAACACAGAAGTTAATCATGTTGTCATTACATGTTGAAAAAATTCCAGGTTTCATCAGTGGTCCCATTCCGATGTTTGGGAAATCCTGCAAATAAGATTGTGTTTTTATCTTCTTCGCATGCGCATGAAAACACAGAACACTGAGACAAACATTACACGTAAACAATCATTCACTCCAACATGAAACAGACAAACAATGGACGACATCAGAATTAAAAGTCAGTCAAATTTGCATTGTAACAGAACCTGGTGTAGTCAGGAGGAACACCCTCCACGATGTCCTGTAAATCCACCTCAGAAAGGAAAGCCTTGACTCCCTGGGGAAGCTTCCCTGGTTGCCATCAAATCTTCCTCCTCAACTCCTGTGCAAACTTCGGCCACCTGGTTTTGGTTTGAATCGTCTCTGGCTCAATGTCCTTGATGTCTGCAGATAAAACAAACATCAGCAGGTGTCAGGCTTTCTGGCTGTCCATACTATCCTGGCTGTGGATGTTCAGGGTAGCCTGATGAAGCAGGGTCAGTTGGCAGAATAGTGCAGTTGGGCCTGATGGAAACACTGCCATCTTGTGGTCATTCTGTAAAGCACATGCAATAAAGATATTTTTGGATTTCTGTCACTGCTCCTTTATTGAAGCTGAAACAATCTGTTTATTGAACCAGAATTAATCAGAAACTTCCTCCAGTTACATATGATGTTGACAGGAAATGATGTGCAGCTGGTTAGGAAACGTCAGGGACTTTTCTGACCATCGATTATGTTAATACACTCAATATTTAAGTATCCAGGAAAAGTAAGTATTGTGCCATCTAGTTATTGTAATGTTACTAGTAGTACTGGATGTCATAAAAACCACCACTAGAAGAATGGATGTAAAATCTAAAATTAGAGGTAAAGTTTTAAGACAGTTTTTTACAGAATAAAAGGAAAACATGTTCTTAATGTATTTTCTAGTCTTTTTTGTGACAATATGAAAATAGTTACTTATAAAATAAATTACTCACTACAGTGGCAGTTTCTCCTTGTGCAGACAATCCGGATGTTTCAGCTCTTAGACAGGCACTTTAAAACTGAAATAAACTCCAGATTTACATGAAAGATTAATAACATGTGGAGGTAAAGTTTAAGAAAATATTTTCATAGAAACAAAAGTTTAGATTTAAAATAAAACAATCATATTGAAGATGCAGATAGAGATTGTAAGTGAAATTTAAAATCTGCAGCTTCAATTATTAAGCTTGAATTGAGGTAAAAGAAATTATGAATATTGAATTAGTTTCTCACCGTTGTGGACGTCTTCTGCAGATAAATCCCAGAATAACAAACTGTGACAACCAAGAAACCTGCAGCAGTAAAAGCAGAAGGAAGAGTCACTGCAGACTGGCTCCAAACTTCATCTGCTGGATTATTATTAGGAAATGAGTCTATTGAAATAAAACAAACATTCTCAATCTAAACATCAGGAGAGTTATGGGTTATGAAGTACGGCATCCTTAATCTACGCTCTGCGGCGATGTCCCATCCCGACCATGTTCTCCATGCTGCCTCAGCTAGGTAGACCACCTACTGAGTGGGCCGTCGGTGGTATCCCTATTTTTTCAGGGATACTTTGTTGGAATCCCTTTGGTGGGATTCTGGGCGATTCGATTTCCAGTGAACTTCTCACCACTTGCTGGAGAGAACACTGGTGGATTTCAGAAAATCCACAACCTTCACTGCAGTCATCAGTTCTTCTTCCTGAAATTGTTAAGAAACACAAAATCTCCAGGCTGTAGGTTATATAAGTGTTTGCCCGCTGGCACGGGACGTCCTTCTTGGGCCTGCAGTCTTTAATTGATCTTTAAGAGAAATACAGAAGTTAATCATGTTGTCATTACAGGTTGTTAAACTAATTCCAGGTTTCATCGGTGGTCCCATTCCAATGTTTGGGAAATCCTGCAAATAAGATTGTGTTTTTATCTTCTTCGCATGCGCATGAAAACACAGAACACTGGGACAAACATAACACGTAAACAATCATTCACTCCAACATGAAACAGACACAAACAAACGGACGCCATCAGAATTAAAAGTCACTGAAATTTGCATTACAACAGAACCTGGTGTAGTCAGGAGGAACACCCTCCACGATGTCCTGTAAATCCACCTCTGAAAGGAAAGCCTTAACCCCCTGGGGAAGCTTCTCTGGTTGCCATCAAATCTTCCTCTTGAGCCCCGGTGCAACCTTCGACCACCTTGTTGTGGTTTGAATCGTCTCTGGGAGCAGTCTCTGGCTCACTGTCCTTGTTGTCTGCAGATAAAAGAAACATCAGCCAGTGTGAGGCTTTCTGGCTGTCCATACTGTCCATACTATCCTGGCTGTGGATGTTCAGCCTGATGAAGCAGGTTCAGTTGGCAGAATGGTGCAGTTGGGCTTGATGGAAACAGTGCCATCTTGTGGTCATTCTGTAAAGCACATGCAATAAAGATATTTTTGGATTTCTGTCACTGCTCCTTTATTGGAGCTGAAACAATCTGTTTATTGAAGCAGAATTCATCAAAAACTTCCTCCAGTTACATATGATATTGACAGGAAATGATGTGCAGCTGGTTAGGAAACGGCAGGGACGTTTCTGACTATCGATTATGTTAATACACTCACTATTGAAGTATTCAGGAAAAGTAAATATTGTGCCATCTAGTGATTGAGATGTTACAAGTAGTACTGGATGTCATAAAAACCACCACTAAAAGAATGGATGTAAAATCTAAAATTAGACATAAAGTCTTCAGACATTTTTTTTAGAGAATAAAAGGAAAACATGTTCTTAATGTATTTTCTTGTCTTTTTTGTGAAAATCTGAAAATAGCTACTTATAAAATAAGGATATTTACTCACTACATGGGCAGTTTCTCCTTGTGCAGACGATCCGGATGTTTCAGCTCTTAGACAGGCGCTTTAAAACTGAAATAAACTCCAGATTTACATGAAAGTTTAATAACATGTTTAGGTAAAGTTTAAGAAAATATGATCAAAAAAATAAAAGTTTAGATTTAAAATAAAACAATCATATTGAAGATGCAGATAGAGATCGTAAGTGAAATTTAAAATCTGCAGCTTCAATTATTAAGCTTGAATTGAGGTAAAAGAAATTATGAATATTTAATTAGTTTCTCACCGTTGTGGACGTCTTCTGCAGATAAATCCCAGAATAACTAAAACTATGACAACCAAGAAACCTGCAGCAGTCAAAGCAGAAGGAAGAGTCACTGCAGACTGGCTCCAAACTTCATCTGCGGGATTATTATTAGGAAATGAGTCTATTGAAATAAAACAAACATTCTCAATCTAAACATCAGGAGAGTTATGGGTTATGAAGTACGGCATCCTTAATCCACGTAGGTGTTGTTCTGCAGCGATGTCCCATCCCGACCATGTTCTCCATGCTGCCTCAGCTAGGTAGACCACCTACTGAGTGGGCCGTCGGTGGTATCCCTATTTTTTCAGAGATACTTTGTTGGAATCCCCTTGGTGGGATTCTGGGCGATTCGATTTCCCAGTGAACTTCTCGCCAATGGCTGGTGAGGACCCAGGTGGATTTAAGAAAATCCACAACCTTCACTGCAGTCATCAGTTCTTCTTCCTGAAATTTTTAAGAAACACAAAATCTCCAGGCTGTAGGTTATGTAATTGTTTGCCCGCTGGCACGGGACGTCCTTCTTGGGCCTGCAGTCTTTAATTTATCTGTAAGAGAAATACAGAAGTTAATCATGTTGTCATTACATGTTGTTGAAATAATTCAAGGTTTCATTGGTGGTCCCATTCCCATGTTTGGGAAATAATGCAAATAAGATTGTGTTTTTATCTTCTTCGCATGCGCATGAAAACACAGAACACGTAGACAAACATTACACGTAAACAATCATTCACTCCAACATGAAACAGACAAACAATGGACGACATCAGAATTAAAAGTCAGTCAAATTTGCATTGCAACAGAACCTGGTATAGTCAGGTGGAACACCCTCCATGATGTCCTGTAAATCCTCCTCTGAAAGAAAAGCCAAAACCCACTGGGGAAGCTTCCCTGGTTGCCATCAAATCTTCCTCCTCTGCCCTTGTGCAATCTTCGGCCACTTGGTTGTGGTTTGAATCGTCTCTGGAAGCAGTCTCTGGCTCACTGTCCTTGTCTGCAGATAAAACAAACATCAGTCAGTGTGAGGCTTTGTGGCTGTCCATACTGTCCTGGCTGTCCATACTGTCCTGGCTGTGGATGTTCAGGGCAGCCTGATGAAGCAGGGTCAGTTGGCAGAATTGTGCAGTTGGGTCTGATGGAAACAGTGCCATCTTGTGGTCATTCTGTAAAGCACATGCAACAAAGATTTTTCAATTTCTGTCACTGCTCCTTTATTGGAGCTGAAACAATATGTTTGTTAAACCAGAATTCATCAGAAACTTCCTCCAGTTACATATGATGTTGACAGAAAATGATGTGCAGCTGGTTAGGAAACGTCAGGGACGTTTCTTACTATCGTATCTGTTGATACACACAATATTGAAGCATTCAGGAAAAGTAAGTATTGAGCCATCAAGTGATTGTAATGTTACTAGTTGTACTGGATGTCATAAAAACCACCACTAGAAGAATGGATGTAAAATCTAAAATTAGACGTAAATTCTTCAGACAGTTTTTTACAGAATAAAAGGAAAACATGTTCTTCCTGTATTTTCTAGTCTTTTTGTGACAATCTGAAAATAGTTACTTATAAAATAAATTACTCACTACAGTGGCAGTTTCTCCTTGTGCAGACGATCCGGATGTTTCAGCTCTTAGACAGGCGCTTTAAAAATATAATAAACTCCAGATTTACGTTAAGGTCTAATAACATGTGGAGGTAAAGTTTAAGAAAATATATTCAAAGAAACAAAAGTTTAGATTTAAAATAAAACAATCATACTGAAGATGCAGATAAAGATCGTA